TACCCCACAACCCCCTCCCAGCCACTGCCAAATACAGCAGGTAGACTGGGTAACTGACAGAACTCTCACCCATTTCTTAACAGTGGCCGGTGATGTTTGCTTAACGCCCTGTACAGTACAGACCCTGCTGCTTGTAGCGTCGAGAAGGACTGCTGATAGACTTATCTTGGGGATAAGAACCGTCTGAAACAGAGGGGTTTGTGGCGGGCCCGAGGCTGCAGGGCAGTCGGTCGCAGTACCACTGTGGGAATCCAAGGGCTTCCCGTCGGTCGGGTCTCTGTCCACACACAGATTGCACTTTTACCTCTAGCTTTAAAGAACAAGCGTAGCAATGTTAGCAAACTCCGGAAATGAATTGGTGCACAGGGCTGTTAGTCTTCCCTGACATCGTCTTTGACAGAACTTGCTATGGAGAGCGCTCCTTGTCAAGATTTCTGTAAAATGCAACACACGTTAGATACAAACAGAAGTGTTATTACTTTACTCTCCCTATGTCCTTCCTGATGGCATGCCAGTGTTGGGCAGAAACCTTCTGAAATACCACGCAAGATACTGTGAAACCTTATCTTGCACTTCTGCAATACTGTGTTCCTTCACCGGTGTTTGACACGCCCCAGCTTTTCCTTTCCAAATGTAACTCTTTCTGCCTCTTGTTATGTTTGGGGGATTCATGAAGCAGTGTTGCTACATCTGAGTTGTAGTCTCCGTGGTTCTTTTTTGCTTTTGCCTATAAGAGTCTTAGGTAAAACTCATAAAAAGACCACACGTGCACATAAGAGGTGGAGAAGAGCTGAACAAAGTCTTACTACAGACCTGAAGTGCCTGATCCTTCCCATAACCTTCTCTCTCAGTGTAAATCAGAAATCCAGTGTTCGGTATGACTGAAATGAGCCCTGTGCTTAATTGCCCTTGTCTCTTGGTTTAGGCTGTTGTCTTGTGTGCTTATCTGGAGACGGAAGGCATTGATCTCAGGGATCGGTCTGTGATCGAGCTGGGAGCTGGAACTGGATTGCTGGGAATAGTGGCCACATTATTGGGTAAGGGCTTTTTTTTGTTTGTTTGTTTAAAGCAATTTACAACTGTAGTAAAACTGGCACTTTAACATCTACATGCCTGGTAGAAGTTAACACCAAAGCTACATACATGAACTGTGATGTTTCCTGTCTGAGTCATCTTCCTTTCTTGTTACACTTCAGAGCCTGCTGTGTTATTTATTGTAGCGATGGTGCCACTGCAGTTTACTTTATGGTGGGACCCTGTTAAGGCTGACGCCTGTTACCATGGCACTCAGCTCAGCAGCATCAAGTTCTGTAGCTATTCTCCCCCAGGGAGCAAGTGCTGTGCTTAGTTTTCTACTTGTCCTCATAAAAGCTACAGACAGAAACCACCCTCTGAGCTTGCGTAAGCCTTGTTAGTCTATCTTACAGACAGGGAAAGCAAGGTCTGGAGAAATGAAGTGATTTGCCTGTGATCTGTCTGTGGCTGAGGCAGGGACTGGGTACTATGTTAAATTTGCGCTAACTGTCCCAGGTTAACTTTGTAATTCAAAGCTCCAGTGGCTGTGGAAGGTGCCTATTGAAATAATAAAAACAAAGCAGTTTGACAAAATACAATCACGCCGTGCAACATCACACAGGCATAACTTTTGTCTGACCTGTGAAAGAGGCTCTCTAGCTGCCTCTCTCATACTGAACAAATACAGAATTGTAACAATCCCTGTAACTTACTCTGTCACCTATAGAAAGGCGGAAAGTAACTTCTCTACTTTCATGCACTAAGAAGCAGCTCCAGAAAACACTTTTTGTTCCCTACCCAACTTAATCTTCATGTGGAGTACACTTTATAAACTTAAGTGACTGATGAAGGGTAGGCTGTATGTAGATAGTGGGCTTTTTGCTTGTTTTGTTCTTTTGTTTGTTTTTAATCAGGCAGCTCAGGGGAATTGTTAAAGTTTAACAGGAAATAAGGAGCCTCTTAGAGCATTGTATTCCAAATGCTATATTTATGGACATTGATTATATGTCTGAGACATATACTCCTGTATCACTTAGGTGCTCATGTTACCATCACAGACAGGGCGGCAGCACTGGAGTTCCTGGAGTCAAACGTACAGGCTAACTTACCTTCTGAACTACGTCTGAGAGCTGTGGTGAAGGAACTGACGTGGGGAAAAGACCTGGGTAACTTCCCTCCAGGAGCATTTGACTTCATCCTGGGTGCAGACATCGTGTATCTGGAAGAAACTTTTGCAGAACTGCTTCAGACGCTGGAGCACCTCTGCTCAGAGCAAACTGTGATTCTTCTTTCCTGTCGTATCCGCTATGAACGGGATCACAAATTCTTGAAGATGCTGAGGGGCCATTTCTCTGTATATGAGGTCCACTATGATTCCAGTAAGGATGTTCATATCTACAAAGCACAGAGGGGTAGTCGCAAGGATGACTTTTGACTCTGTGCTTTGTTAGTAAATTACTGATGCTGTTCAGTCCTCACCTTGTTTCTACTCAATACACTTGTTCCTAAGCATATCATTGCAGTTGTGTTATTTCACTGGCTTCTTGTTCTGATGGTCTTGTCTGATCACTTGGTCTTAGGCAGCAAAGATTGTACTTCTGTTCTGCATATTGAACCTCTGCTTCATTTCTCAGTAGAGTTGTATAAGGTCTTCCGCTGACTTTTTATCAAACATAATTTTTGAAACTGATTTAAGATGCAGAAATCTCCAGGCAAAAATGTCATCAAAAGATCTGTTGTTTAAAATCAAACCACAATTAATTTCTGTGGGAAACTTAAGAGTGTTTTTCTCCCCCCGTTATCACTTAAACTCTAGAAAAGTAAAAGTGGATGAAATATAAGCTAAGACTCCAGCACTAAATGCTTTAACTCTTCAGGCCTTCTGCATCTTAAAAGTTGCGGTAAAAGAAGCCAGTTGAAGGGCAAAACCAACAAAGGCAGCTGCTATAAAGTTGTTCTATTGCTGTCACTGCTGAATTGAAGAGCCATGGGGAAACAAAGAACAAGGGCGGTGCCTGTGTTGGGAACTAGTATGGCAGAGTAAGCCAACTTAGAACTATCAGTGGTGTTTTTATCTGACTTGCAAGCATGGAGGCTATTCCTGCAGTACTGAAGCAGTCGTGGTTCTTGGGTTGTCCCTAACAAGATAACTTCCCCTTGTACAGATCAAGGCTCCTTGGAGCAGATACACATGCACCTGTGCCAGCCCTTGACTCTCAAACTACCGTTAAATAATGTACTTTCTGCCTTTTTTGTGGCTCACTCTGGCTCCGAGAGCTGTTATTTAAGAGAGGAGGGTGCTGCTGTAAAGGCTTTGTAGCTAGGCGAGTACTTATTCTTGTATTACTTGGACCTTGGGGCAGTGTCTAGATTTCGGCATGCTTTCTCTGCACAGTGGTAGTTAGATGCTGTTCTGAGTAACTGATTTCATACCTTGAGCTTGTAAAAACACCTCTGTGTGTTTATTCCACAAGATCCTGTGTGAAAAATGCTGCAGCCTGGAATCCGTCTCGCACCAGCAGCAGCAGCAGACTTCCTTCTCTTTCTAGTGGTGGAAGACTGAAACTGGTGAAAACAATGGGCTAACAGAAGATGGCTACGCTTCTAAATGCAGGCATTGCGATAGTGCATTTTTTTTGGTGGATGTGGAACTTGTTTTTTCTTTAAACTTAACTTAAAAAGCCCCAGGTCAGGTTCAGGCTTTACGTGTGTGCATGTCTTTGGCACTGGCAACAGCAAACACCAGCAGGGCCATGGATGTTAGGAGTTCTTCATCACTTCTGTTTCCATCAAACATCCTAACTGGAAAAGATGCAGAGGGACTGTGGTACAGAAGTGATGTGCAGACTGTAATCTGGAAAGGACACATTTATCATTACAGCTGTCATTAATGAGGCCCGAAGGTCTCGTGCTTCATCACTGGTGTATCTTTCGCATGTTTTCAGCTAAGTTCCTTGCTTGGCTCTGGACTCGGCTTGAGAGTTGCTGCTCTGAAACACTTGTTTACAACAGTATTCTCAGAAGCCACATGGTGTCACTAAAACAGCACTTACGCAGCTGGCTGGGGATTTGCTGTCTGGAACTAGAGTTGAAGTCCCTTCGAGGGAAGGAAGACAGCACCTTTAATTTAAAACAGAACATGATATGAGCTTTAATGTGCCAGACATGGCTGCTTCTGTCCTATCAACTGGGTGAGCAATGGCTGAAAAAAATTACGAGCTCTCCCCACTCTCTCTGGCTCCAGTTTTTGGAGCTTGGCTATAAGTTCTGACCACTCCTCGTCCTCCCCACTGGTCTTTCCTTGTCTCCGAGCTCGTCTGTGCTCACTGTGTATTAGGCTCCCTCCGGGCTGGAGCTAGCAGAAAGCAGCACACTGGTGCTTGGGCTTGTGAGTGCGTGTGACTTAGTCTGTGGGAAAAGCCTGCTACCTGGCTGTGCTTGGCCCTCACAAGAGGCTGCAGCTTGCAATACTGGGAGCCTTAGCAGCTTGCACTGTTGCTATAGTAGGACCATGCTTAAAAAGCATGCAATGAAGTGTAAGGACAGAATAAAGTCTAGTGCAGCAACCTACACACTTTTAAGAAGGAGGCTTTGCTCCAGGCCTTGCTTTGACCATAGTAAAAGTTTTGTACTTTTACAACAAATCAGTTTAATTGCATCTCTTTCTAATTGTTTAGCAGCTTTCAGTGTGTATTTTCCCATTGCTCCTGTTACAGCCCATAGCCTTCGTGCCAGAGCAGGCATGTGCTGGAAGAGACCAGGCCCGGCTTCTTTTGCTCTGTTGCTGTTGCACACAGCAGCTGTACGCAAACCCGAGGGAGTATGTTTGGAGGCTGAAGCAATGCTACTGCCCGTAAGTAAATACTTCTGGAGAAAAGCGTGAGATGACACTGGCCGCTCAGGTGAGTGCCTTGCCTCTGACCTGCAGAGCTGAGCTCTGGGTGGCCCCTCCCCAGCTCAGCAAGTGGCACCCCCTCAAGGGGACACCTTCTCCTCTGACTGCTACTGGGGTGCACGCACTCCTTTAAATTCAGGAGACCAGACCCAGGAATACTGTGATTAGGCCACAACCTCAAGCACATTAGTTCTGGTTGCTTTTTAAGCTACAGTGTTTAGGGGCAGGCACCAACCACGAGAATGTAACTCAGCTGAAACCTACAGCCCGTTCCCTCTGGGCTGTGCTAACGCCCACCCGCACCAGGCAGGGAGCAGTGCCTTCCATTGTCCCCGGCTGGGCTTTGCAGCTTTTTTATATTCCCATCACACTTGGCTTCAGGGAGATTGTCAGGACTGAGCCACACTGGATGTGCAGGGCAGAAGTAGCAGGGGCGTAACTGCCTGGTGAGTGAGCACACAGAGAGCAGCCCTCTGCGATGACACCTGCAAACTCCAGTGTCCTGACTGACTAGTCCCAGGTGAGCTTCTGCTCTGGTATGAGATGATGCATGGTAATGCTTCAGCGGCTGGTTGGCAATTACACTAACACCCTGCCCAAGCACTTTGTCACCCTGTTCATGCCGGCACTGGAGAAGTCAGCGTGATTCTCCTTCGGGTGGTTTCCACAGTGTTGGTCCTGTTTTGTAACAGATGACGTGAACTCATCTGTAGGGAGGATGTGTTTGGGCACGGGTCCCTGACTTGTGGGGCAATGCATATATAGTCTCTTGAGAAACAAAATACTCACCCTAGGGAGAGGATCCAAGTCACAGGGAAGTGACCAGGTAAGACGCGAACACGCTGTGAGATTGTGAAACCACCCCTGAAACATGCCATTCTGCAAGGGAACAAACTTCTAAAATTTTGTTGCAACTGAAGTCATGTTTGATTAATATTAATACACAGGTATGAAATCAGCTCTCTATCTTATGGACAAAAAGCTTCAAGGTGCAGCAGTGTCAGAAGAATCAGGTTCACCAGCTGACCTACTGACTGCACAGGGATCTGTGTTACCCGATTCTTTTTACTGTGAAATTCAAGCCAAGCTGCATTTTTACCTCAGGGACTAACCCCTGTTTGGGATTCTCCTTCATTACTGAGATGTAGATTTTACTGAGCAAGTACGTGAATGGCATTATGAAAACGCTCAGTTGTGAAAACCACAAAATCCCAGTGATAATGAGCTGACCTTACTGCTTCCCCTTGATTTCACTGGAGGTGTGTTTACCTCAGTGCTGAATTTGTTCTGGCTTTCATCCCAGTGTTTGGATCCAGCCTTGCAGATTACGTAATGGGGTTGCGATCCTTGCGGTGTTTGCTGCCTCCTGTTCTGCTGTTATTAACATCAGTAATACGTGGTTTACAGGAATGCTTAAAAGTGAGAAAGACAGCATATTTAAGCTGTGAAAGGGAGAAGTCTTTCACACATTATTAAACAATGGAACTAATTGCCACCAGAATGGATACTGGAAAGCAGGTTTAATAATATCAGAACTGGAAGAGAAACTTTGTTTTTCAGGACTTGAACCTCTCACTAATCTAATTCAATTTAATTAAGATTAAAAAAGCCTTCCTTTTGGGGAAAATTATCTCATGAATACTTACAGCAGGCCACAGATCATGAGAGGACAGAATAGTCTGCTTAAAATACGCCTTTTCCCATATTCCTATCTAGCTACCATTTGCCACTAAATTAGTGTAAATGGAACATCCTGCTCAAAAAAGAGACTTTGTAGAGTTTTTTAAAGCATGTTTATGTGACTGCACGTAAATGTTTGTGTAAAAAGGGAGTTGACAGTTTATACCACAAAGGTTACAGTAAGAAAAAGCACTTCTTTATGACAATAATTCACAAATTCACAAGAATCACTTTAATATACAAAGCAATTACTACCATTCTGAAACACAAAGCAGCTAATATGTACATAGTGTTAATAAAATGCATTATAACCCAGTACAATTTTTTTTAAAACACATATAAAGCACAAAAAATTAAGTAAAAAAAAACAAAACAAAACAAAACACAACAGGGATGTTTCTAGATTTTTAGGGATACGTAAATAAGAATTTATTTTCCCCTAATAATGGATTTTCATTTAGTCTTTTAACTTCCACAAGTATGTGGGAGTCAAGCTCAAATACCCTGTTCTGTGCTGACATGGTTTGGGTAAAGAATCAGAAATGCAGATGAGGTGAACTTACTCTTTCCAGCTTACATTACAAAGGGAGAACCCTCGCTCTGGAAGCTTCCCTGAAAAACGTTGTTCCAAAACAATTTCAAATTATAAATCCAGAGTGGAAACAACTCATTTTTTAAGTGAACAACCAATCTGTGGACAAGTCTGTGGAGGGGTTGGCTGCCAACTAGCACCTCTTCTTGCCCTGTTCCCCATCCCATCCCTAGAAGTCCATATAAGCAGCACAGTTTCAAATCTCATACAAACTCGAAGTTCTAGAACTTTTTAAAATTAATGTTTCAATATAAATAAATGTCATTACACACAAAAAATGGAGTGGCACCTGGATAAAACACAACTTGTGGAGAGCATCCAAACATCCTTAGCTCTTAAGAGTGGCCATTTCCAGGTAATTAACAGGCTCAAGGCCTTCCTTCCCCATGGTCTCACTCAGCTATCCCCTAATTTAGAGAAATACATAGCCAAGGCTGAGACTGAGTGAACCGAGTGCTCCAAAGTCGTGAGTACAGTAAGTGGTCAGCTTATGAAGTGTGCCAACCATGGATCATTACAGCCTGTCCCTGGCCTTTTCTCTGCCTGCACACAGCTCCTGAGGACAGCCAACTTCTCCTGCCTCTCACTGGTGAAAGCAAGACCTGAACTCACCACTTAAACAGCAAGTCACAAACCGCACTTGCAGTACCAGAATGCAAACAGGTCACCGTCTTCAATTTGTGCTGTGCAAACTAGCCCCAGCAAGTCTCTTTGCAGGCCAGAGCTTAAATACATTTAACAAACACATTCCAAGGCCAAACACTTGAAATGCAAACCCTCTTTACCAACTGGATCTGGTCCCTTTTTCCCAAAGATGTACAGATTTCAGCCATATCCATCCACAGACCTGAACCTGTCACAAGCACACAGTAGATAAGATAGGATTTCAGCACCTCGTTTCTCTTCATCAGTCTGGCTCCTCCCAGACTAAGCATCATGATACATTCAGGTTTCTGCAAAATCAGTGTCTTGTACAGCTAGCAAATTCAAAAGCTCAAGGAAACGAGTTCCCAGGCACAGTACAGAGAACCATCAATGTACTGTATGCTTTCAAAACCTGCTCACAGTGACAGATTCCAGGGTTATAGCTAAATTATCATTGCTCCTGCAAAAGAGAGGCGGTTGTGCTTTTTTTATCTTTTAAAGCAGGGTGACACATTGTCAATGTACCTTTACTTCCTGGTGTCAAAGAATTGGAAAGCCTTTTGATTTATTTTCTTGGAATGCAGCTTGTAAAACCTGCAGCCAAATCTCAGATTAAGAAAAGGGGAATAAAGTGGCTGAAAAACAGTTCAGCTTTCCTTCCAAATTAACCTCCCTTTCCCACTTGGGATCACTGAACTAGTTCTATTCTAAAAATAATTTCACATCCGTCCTGTACATACTGCTCTGAGACACCACACACTTAATTCTTTCCAGTCTTCAGTATTGCCTGTTCAGATCTCCTGCCATTTTGAAGTAATGCCTGCTGGACGCCAGGTGCTAATCAGCAAGTTAAATTTGTAAAGGAGTCAACTGCTGTGGGGAGAGGAGTGAATTGTGTGCAGGCAGCAGGATTACAACAATTGTGCCAGGAAGCTTCTCAAGCAAACCCAATTGCTCTTAATTTTTTTTGTTCTGTGTTTTTTTTTTTTTTAAAAAGTGCACATTTTAATTAAACATTTACAAAGAACATAGTGTAACAAAAATAAATACATGACCTTTTGGTTAGATCATTGGCAAATGTTACATCACTAACCAGCTTCAGGGTGAAAAAATGACAATAAAAACAGGGTCTTAGAAAACCAATGAAATCCTCTACGAATTGTCATAGATTTGCAATCACTGATACTGAACTTGTTTTGATGGGGAGACTTGCCTTTACTTTAACCCAAAAAAAGCACTGGCTGGCTGTCATAAATTAAAAAAAAAATAAAATAAAAAAAGCAGAGGCCAATTTTCACTAACAGATGACTACTTGCAGCTGCAGTCTACTGGAAGCCCAGATTTAAAAAAACCTGTAGTACAAATTTAGATCAGAAACTACCAGGGCTGTTTTTCCTTATTAAATCTTTTTTTTTTTTTTTTTCCTGAGCCTCTTAATGATTCCAAACACCCCACCAATTTTCTGATCAACATACAAGTACCGGAGAAGACAGTGGTCTACAATGCAAAAGCCAACTATAGAACAGCCTGAACCTACAGGTGTCTGTATAGTCCTGATGAGTATGACAGGCTAAAGTTGTGCTTTCAGATACAAGCAATGGTGCTGGCAACTACCTAATTCTGGTGAAATCGCTGCTTAAATAAAAATGCATCGCCACGACCCCAGGAGGAAAACAGAAGTCTTACCAGTGGTTCCTTTAGAAAATAACACCTTAACAACCTTTCCAATTGTTTTGCCTTTGATATATAGCTGCCAAAGAGAAAAAGCCCAAAAGTGAACTATTCTGCGGGGTGGTGGTTGCTGTAAAACAACTTTTTACATAATTTCAAAAATCTCCATCAATAAAAACCAAAAAGAAACCTCACGAAAGCCATGAAAGGTGAAATAAAATTCTTGAAAATGGATAACTGAGAAACAGCACAAAACAAATCAGTAATAAGCGCTAGAATAATGCAGCCCAGAACTACTGGGGCGGGGGAAAGCTTTCACACACGCGCACACGTCCACACACACCCAGACATACACAGAAAAGTAAAAATTTTTTCTGACCTCCATATACTATAATACTCAGCATTCCTGACTTAAAAGCTCTCAGAGCTGTAGATTATATACTGTGTGTATATATATATATGTACATATATTATACATATGTATTTTCCAAGAATATCTAAATTAAAAGAGCACCTCTGACAATATCTTAACTGCCTGATTGGTGCTGCTGTTTTGCAAAATAATGACATTACAAAAATTATATTTCAAATCAATTCTTGTTTATTATGAACATAATGGATCTAGCCCTTTCTAACCCTCTCTTCAGGTAAAACAGGCTATCAATTCTTGAAAACTCACAACTGTGAGATATAAAACTAACCCTCCCTCCCCCCTGCCAGCATAATTTCTGTCCTATTTCCAAATGGCCTTAGTTTATAGAGCTGATTACCCCAACCTCACTACTTGATAAATAACATATGAATGGATTCCTGTGTCATATTCTTTCCCTTATTTCCCAGTGTGAATAGTAAAGCATGTATGGGTAACCCTAGCCAGCCCTGTACTTGGTCTAATACATTTTTTATTATTGTCATTTAAAATTTCCGTTAAATAAATTCCAGTCCCTAAATCCTCAGTGCAGCTGAAATGCAAGTGAAGATCCTTGCAGATCTCTATGAACTTTAATGTTCTTTTTCCTAGTGAAACATTAGTTGCTAATGAGGTCTAGACTAGTAACACTACAGACTACTTGCAGACCATGCACAGACAAACCAGTAACACAGTTCTCCTGTCACTGCCGCGCAAATTTGCACCAACCCTGTATTAGAAAAACCCTGTCTGGGTACTGGTTTAGGCTCCCTGGTCCTTTCAGCTCCCAGGCTTTGTGCTGAGTGACTATCGGCAAACGCTAAACACTGCTCATTACCCACTAGGAACAGCTCTCAGATCACAGCTAGCCTCATTCAGGTTCACTGCAAAACTCAAGTTTTTGCAAACAGGTGATTCTACAAAAGAAACAGCCTTAATGTAGGCATGTACAGCCTTTTCCATGTTTCTCAAAGCTGGAGGAACCATCCCATATAACTGTGTAAATTAGGCCATCAGGAGCTTCATGTTTTATAAGAATGACTCCTGTATTATCAACATTTCTACTTCAGCGCTAGTTCTGAAAAACTGGTAACCGTTCTATGTGTTTGTATTCTCTGACTAAGAATCAGACCATTTTTATAAAAGCATTGCTGAGAATTTAGAGTCTTCTTTATATTTGCATTGCTAAACTAATAAATTCAACTTTCATTAAATAAAACCATGAAAATTAATTCTCTATGGCAGATAAAAATAGACCATCTATAAACCCCCTCAAAACTTGTGAAAATGAATTCTTTCATAATTGATACTTACGTTCTCTTCTTCAAATACAAGCATAATTTGAAATTATTGCTAACTCTAGATTTAACAATAATGCTGTAAGTTTAACCCTGCTCCTTTGAAAGTCTCTGAAACTGAATGCCCTCTCAAACGAGAAAACTAGAAGTTTTAATACTGCTTAGCTGTTTGAGACTCAACTGCCCAGAGTCTTCCAAATGTTCTTCTTAGAACGTCACATTGATTGTATAACCTTTTAGAAGCTCGTGTTTGAAATTTATCTTAAAAACAGGTAAAGTGAATGGGAAAAAAAATATTAGCGAATACTTCGCTAGGCAAGGCGTTAGTACAGACCAGAGCCTTATTCCTATGTCTCTATACATAAAAGTTTGACCAGAAGCCCGAAGTAAACTTACTCCATCAAATGACCCAAGCTAATATATCAAGAGTCTGGCTTCAGATGGCCAGTAAACAAACTGCACACGATTCTTTTCGACACATTCTTTTTGACGACTTCTTGACATTCTTTTTTGGTTCTTTTTCAGCATGATTCTTTTTAAGTCCTAATGCTTAGTACAGAGTTGGTTTTAAACATGAACTACTTTTTTAACAATGTAAATTTGGGAAAGATTTCATTTCCTCAGTGCACACAAAAATTTGATCTTGCAAACATCTGAGGCACATGAGTAATTTTACTTACAGGAATAAATTACTCGGTAAATCTGACCCTTTACATTAAAAAATCCTCCAAATAAATTAAGAATTTAGCTAGCTTGGCCAGGTTCAAATAATTAATATTGTCCCTTGCGAAGCGGAAGTTGGAATATTTGTGTTTGAAGTCCTCTTCAGTATTCGAGGTTGTCCTGGTACTTGTCATACTGCAATTTAATTTATGTATGGAAGGCAGCCTCAAAGTTTGAAAAAGAATCTAGCAAACCAGGCTGATGTTTCCATTGAGTATAATAATTTCCATTACATAAGATAGCGGTAGGGAAATAGAAATAACCTCATTGCTTGAGAGGACTTGGGGGACAGACTATACCATCATCAGGGAGTATGTACGTGGAGTTGGCCATGCTTCAACTGCTTAGTTGTTCTGCATATGAACAGGTAGTGCTTTCAAGTGTTACCCTTGCTTACTATGTGACCGTTTTTGAAATGTCACTGTTGTACCTTTTTATTCTGAATTCCTTTCCCATCCAAATATAATTTCCCAACCAACATCCTATGAAGTTGGTGTTTGCTTTTTGTGCATTCAGAATGCTGAACCCACTTGCACACATAAGCTTTGAGAAGCAACAACTGACCAGTGAAGCTCATTTCAATGCATTTGTTTCTGAGGTATGGAGAAGTTTTTACTAGTCCAGGAGGGTTTAATACAGATTACAAATCAAAACCCCTTCTGGGCTAGTTTGAAAAAAGTATGTTATCTCCACATCAAGAACGTGACTGTGAAGTGCCTTTCATTTGGCATGCCACTTAGCCATGTATTTTTATAGTTCATAATGAATATGTGAAACCAATTTGGCAACCATTGCTTCTTCATTGCACCATGTATGCTCCATGTATGTGGCCCACAGTTCTCTGGACCAAGAGGCTGGGGTGGTTCTGTCTCTAAGGCAATGGAAAGGGCTCAGCACAAATTCTTCAAATCATTACAGGACCCTCCCCACAGTAACTTCCCAAGAGACCGCTGTTACTCCTTGAAGAGGATGGGGAGATGAGAAAGAAGCCTGTTCTTCTTCTTCATGCTGAGACTGATGATGAAAATAATCTTGTAGGGGGAGAAATGGAGGCAAGTACTTGAACATTCACAGTTTGATGCAAAGCACAGATGAAGTATATTCTGTAGTTGCTTCAGGCAGTTTTGCGCATAGAAAAAAAGAAATGTTTAGAAAATAAAAAGTTTACTTTGTCTTTCTGGGCATAGCCAGAACCAGTCTCTATCCCACCTGGACAAGTGAAAATGGGAATCCAAAATTAATCTGATTTGTGGCAGTAAAGGTCCTTAAGTGCTTTCAACTCCTCAATCAGTGTCTTGTTTTGGTTTTCAAGCACAGCCACTCGATTTTCTAGACATTTCACATACTCCTTTTTCTTCCTGCGACATTCACGTGCTGCCTCTCTGCAAAGCAAAAAACGCCATTCAAATCCAGAATGATGACTTGCAGACATGGGCTACTTAGCTGTTCAGGTCAAACCTTTACCTAGCACTGCCATTTTTAGAATACGGAGGTATTGTTAAGAAATGCAAGTTAGGAAAAATGCTGAGTTCATAAATTGCTCCTCACAAATCACACACACTCAAGATCCACAGATCATTTCAACATGCAGATCCCAGTAAATCAGCACCAATAAAATTCTGCTTCTCTGAGAAAAGGATCTTACTCAATGACAAAATTCTGTTTGCAGGATTTACATTAGAGCCTTTAGGCTGATTTGAATGCTGCTGCAATAATTTCATTGATTTTATTATGATAACAAATAGATGAATAATAAAAACATGGACAAGACCAATATTCATCTATTAATCTCTTTATAGTCTTCACTCTTCCCTTTGCTGCAGTCCAACCAAATACTAATGGTCAGGATGTTCAACTGGTGCAAAAAAAGCTGTATTTAGAGCATTCACATATTTGCTCTTGAGCAATACTTTCATTTTATTAATAATGTCTGCATCACTGCAATGATAATATAAATGACTCAAATTAAAAAATCACAAAATAAACAGTCACTAGGAACCATATAATTCTTCAGTCCTTGTCTGCTGTGCCAAGAACATGGCAGTGTTAATGTGCTGAAGCAGATCTCGATACAGTCAATGTTCTGGGAAATGAGAGGACAAAATTGAACCCAGTTCTTCTGCTTATTAAATAAGCAGTAGTTGTACTAATAGGTAAAAAAGAATGTCTGTTTCAGGAACTACCTGGTAAGAAGATTCTAAAAGTAATTTTTGAAATTCAGCTCCACAAATGAGACAGGATGAAGAAAACCTAGTTTGTAAGCCCTGAAAGGACTCAGGTATCTATTTGTCACCCCTACAAATACAACTTCACATGCTTGCATCACTTCGGTGGGCCATATGCAACATTTAGAATTTAAGACAGTTTGGGCTGTTACTTGTGTCACCAAAAGAGTAAGTACTACTGGATCAGGAAATGCCTCTCAGTGCAAACTACTAACCTGTCTTCTCGGGTGACTTTTCTTTCTTCTCATGATTTTTCTGCCAGCTTGGGCTGTATATTAAGCCACCTCAAGTCTGTGTGCATTAGTTATTCATTACGAACAGCTAGAGTTATACTGAATTACACGAGAGCTTTTAAAATGTAAAATTTACACAGAAAATTTGCACAATAATATCTATGAATATTTACGCTATAATCCTCCAATAAGTACCACCTCACCATCTGCCTCTCCATATCCCTTTCCCCTGCTTTGCTATGGAGCCTAGATTTGCAAAGATCTATTAAGCAGGCAGGCTAAAAGCACCACATGCAACATGATACTGTTGCAAAAGCTGTCAATTTAACTCAAGTGGGGGTAATTCCCCATTGTTTTTCTTGGCTTTCCCAAACACAAAAGCCTTCTTTTACTGGAATAAGACTGCTGACTAAATGAGGGGATTCAGAATGCTAATTAAATTTTTCTCAAATGCAGAGCCTGACTGAAAGGCTAACATCTACTATTCAGTGATATCAGAAAAATACATAAAAAGGGGAGATGGGTGTCATTCTATAGAAAAACCTTTTAAAAAAGTGAACTCTGCTGTTCAGCATTATTTACTTCATTAAAGTCCCTCAGATAAGCATTGGGTCTGCTCATGTAACTTTGCATTGTGTTCACAGCTCAGCAATCTACAGAAGATAAATGCACCTGTACAACGTAACATTTTTTTCAGACTGGCAGATGAAGTAAACAGTGTTTTCATGGGGCTTCCCCTCCTCAGAGGGAAGGGAAGCCCTGCTATTTTCCCAGTGTCACAGTGTAACATACAGGCTCAAATCTGTGGCCTGCAGATGGAGTTCAAGTTTGGTGTGATGGGTCAGCTCAGGCCCACCTCTTCCCTCTACCACAGCAGCAGGCTTAAGGAGCACCGTGCCCAAATTCTCTCTGTTGCTCCCTTTCTTCGCTGCGTCCACCAAGCCCCACCTCAGTAGGCTTGGCTGTTCCTCCTTGCATGCTAAATCCTACAGGGTCAATTCTTCTCTCTGTCAGCCCTTCTGCTGTCACTACTGTCTCCACAAGATTTCAAAAGGAGTAGCTGCTTGTTTAGCCTTTCCTTGAGTCTTTCTGCCTCAGGAGGGTAAAACTCAAAGGGCAAGCAGCTAAAGAGAACAAGTGAGACAATCGAGAAAGTACTCATGAAGAGTGCAGGTGGGCCAGCAGGAAGGATAATCCATGCCGAAGGCTAAGGTAAAGAATCCAGGAAAGGAAACTACCTGAATGCATTAACTCAAAAAAATCAACTCACCTCGGTGTTTTTAAGAACACATCTGCAGTCACACAAGTCTCTCGCCAGTGACTTTTCTCCTTACGGCAACTAACAAATTCATAAACCTCACAGAATGAGTCTCACACCTTTACTTAGGGTTTCATAGTCACAATACATGGCATTAGCAGATGTGCTTCTTTGCTTTGCATCTTTAAATAAAGGCAAATTCTTCAGAAAGCATTTCCTAAAACGACTAAGAAAGATCAGGATTCTTAGTGCTTAACAGTCTAGTTCTATGCAGAGCTGACTGGAAAAAAAGTGATCTAAATGTACATGCCTGTTCTTCATTAGACGCACTTCTCTCTTCCGTGCGGCCTCTTCTGCTGGCTGGGTTGGAAGTGCTGGAGAGGATGCCATGACTACGCCTGGTGCAATGGTGCTGGTAGGGGCAGTGCGAATCTGGTAGGTCTGCACATCTCCTGAGGCAGCTGAAAGACACAAGGGAATACGATGTCAGTCTGGTGACAGCGCTGTTAACCATGGTGTGAAGAGCACCTAGTCATCTATCTAACCATGCGCTGTGGGCTACAGTACAGGAGGGATGACCATCATGTAGCTCATCATTGCTCAGTCTCAGTTTATCAATGTAGGCAAAGTTTTGAGCACTCCTGCTGAAGTCTTCACTTGTGCTTGATAACTTGATTTGTCTTGCTGTATTGCTGTGCTTCTTTCTCCCTTAGCATATTTCTTTTTACTTCTCTGTTTTTGGGGCAGTTTTAGCAGTTTTAAGAAGATGAAGGATGGCAAACAGTATTTCTAGCTATGCTCCAAATGTCTATCTGCAAAAGGAGAAACTGCATGTGTAAGTATTTGGCACAGAAAAAAGGGTGGCGATGTAGCATTTACTCCAAGAGAGAGACAGTGCAAACTAGGCATTCCACTACTTCTCTAAAATGAACAAGGTCTTGAGTCTTTTGTTTGTTTATTGTAATCTAGGAGTGTGTTATATTTGCCTGAGCTCAGAAAAAAATACGACACCACCTAAAGAAATCATACGTCCTTAAGAACACAAAACCCAGAAGATCAATGCAGCAATAGTATTTTTCTTGGCTATGTATTTTCACTGATGCCTGGAGACCTCTTCACTGGATAACTTTCAAATCACCTGCTTTACAATCATAAAAGCAGGGGTACACTTTTCTGTTATTTTTAATACCCCCCCCCCAATTTTTAATACACCAAAACATGTATTTTAATACAATAAAAAACTCTAACTTACTCTAAGTTGAAGTAGCCCTGCTTGCTCTAAGTGGAGTGCTAGACCAAATGATCTCTTAAGGCACTAAATTATTTTATGACTCTAAGATTCAGTCATTAAGTACTTGGTGACTAGTTACAAAAGCTATAATAGGTAGAAATTATGACTTGTAAAGGGGAAAAAATTACTAATAAATTAAAGTGTCCTTATAGAAAGAATCAAACAACCTTCTTTCCTAACTTTAATGCTTCACTTTAAATTTACTATTGCTGCAGATGACTATCTGGGAGAACTCAGAACTCTAAAGTGGTATCAGTTTTTGCAGAACATAATAAAAAAAAAATTGTGTGGACAAAATACAGGAAGTACAACATGGAAAACCAAAATTGAATATATTCTTTTAAGAAGTAAACACAAAATATCCACAATTTTCTCAATCTGAAGGGAAAGGCTCCAAGAAAATGTGACAAATAGCTTTGTCCAGAATTTCCTTTAATAATTTTGGAGACTTTACTGTGCCAAAGCTGTTAATTCTGTTTCCTGACACATTTGAAGGAGTTAGGTTGGCAACTTGTATCTGCATGGAGAAAATGTTATACAGAATGACTGGCTGTGAAGTTTCTCACCTTGTACAACAACTTGGTTGCTGGGTACAAGTATCTGTTGTCCGTCTGTGGTCTGTGCATATTGTAAAATGGTGGTGCCAGGCTGGGTTGCAGCTGCATTGGTCATAGTCAATGTCTGGAGACCTTGTACTCCATCTGTGCCATTGTTAGACAACTGTATTGCTCCTCCTTGGGTTATAGCAACTGAAGAAAAAAAAAAAACCAGACACAGCATTTAAGACACCAATTTACACATTAACTTACAGTATTAAACCTAGATATGGAAGAATACTGATCTGAGTTAAATCCCTTGAGCCCTTATACAACCTAAAATCAGACATATGGCTTTAATGTACATTAAAGAAATCATACTTTGAAAGTAAGTTTTCAATTTTTCATGAGACCCATATTTTTTGGGGGGCCAAAAAACACAGCCTAAACCACAAATTAGTTTCTCTGATAAAACAGCATCACACAGAGGAGCTACAATCCTCCCCCAGGGAATACTTTTTAATTTGTTAGTTAAGATTTTCTTCTTGGTTGGTTTAGGTCTTTTCCTCAGTCCTTTCTTTTTTCTTCTCATCTGAAATTCCTCTCCTCTTCCATGCTTTATGCCCTTCAGTCTCCTCTGCTGCTACTGCTATCCATCTTGTGTTTCATTTTCTTCTTGCTTTGGCATTTTTTTTTCTTCCGATTGTATCCCCCCTTCTCTACAACTTCCTCAGCACCTTCCTAGCAGTGTTTTCATTCATAAAGGTCCAGTTTCACACTTTTTTTTTCCCTTCAAGCAGTCTTACTTTGCTGGGTTTTTTCCTTTCTTTCCCTCAATCCTGTCATGCAGGTATACTGAGACATCACCCCTCATTTGTGATTCCACAGAATTTTACTGTGTTCCTATATACAGACACCCCAAAATCTCAACTATCTGCACAAGCAGTTATTTTACAGTTATGGTAGGAAAGCAGAGTTAACTGCATCAGTTTCAATAAAATTAAGTAGGGCATTAGGCAAAGTGGCTAAGGAGTAAACAGAGATACAAAATTTTAAAGAGATTGTAAGTGAGAGATGTAAACAAGTAGTTCTTTCTCCCTTTTTGTATACTTAATACTGTGTGTGTTTGTGTGAGACAGCGTGTGAATTCTAGCTTTACTGCTGTACCCTCAATCCTTTAAGTCAAAGCACTAGATCTATAAAATCGAATGAATAAAGAAAACAGAAACCTATATTTATTACATATTTTAAATAAGTTTGCTGAAGTTCTTATTTTTTCAGGACTTTCTAAAAATGTAATTGCAGACTGTAATGTTTCTTCTATTAATAAGGTTGCAATTTTGTGAATGAGTATTAATAATCTGCCAGGAAAAAAAGAAACTTCTGAATTACCTCACCTGGTTCCTGAAGTGAAAAAGTTTATAATAGCATTATGGTTAGTTCATACTTTGCCTCAGGATGCATTAGCTACACTAACTGGCAAGCAGTCCCAGAATGTTAATTGAACATTTCAAATACTTACAATAGGAAAGTGTTTAAAAGGCATGGTTATCAAACAGTCAAATTAAAGTAGTCTTATTTTCACCTCCTGCTTTGTCCTAGTCCAAACAGTTATAGAAATAATAGTTCTTCATCTTCTCATCCCCACTTACTAGCACCACTGAGAAATTCAGACTACATACTGTACTGCCCACTGCTGGTTTGGTAAATGGGAGTTGGCACCGTAACAGTGGCGATGGCAGGTGCTGCTGTTTCCTCTTCAGACTTTTCTTCTTCGATCCTTGGCACTCCTGGGGCGTCTGAGGACAAGTCATTCAAAATTTTTCTGGCAAAGACAGTGTGTTGTAGAGATTTTAATAAAAATTGAAAAAAAAAAGTCTATTTGATACATAACGCTGGAGAAAACTGAAAAGTGCAGTAAGCCAGCAAGGAAAATACGGGTGCAGAATGAAAAACCCGCACTATCTTCAAACTCTTATTGGAGAGGATTGTTCAAAGTGCCATGCACAGATGGGCAAGAGAGCCAGCACAGAACAGCTGTGCTTATCAACACAAGATACAGGTGCTTCTCAACAGGTTCTTCTCAACCCAAGACACAGCTATCACAACCTTCCCTTTTTCTTAAAAACATGTTTCTCTCTCATCCATTTTTACTTGTTTCCTGCTTTTAGCCACATAAAGACTTGAAGAAAGCAAAAGTATGTAAAAACCTGTCTCCCCACTTACATTAGGGGAACTGCTCCATTTCAGAGACCGTAAAGGCCTCAGCCCGAGAGCTGAGTATAAAGGAAGTTAGAGGAAACGCTTGTAAAGAGCAACCAGTTTATAACGTAACACGTGCCTGGGAGACAACACCGAGTGTTTGAGTGAAGTCACACAGTTACATTTACAGGTGCCCTGCCTGAGAAAGCTGTGAGATCAGCATGGGTAAAGGAAAGAACAGTTTGTTTAATTACTTCCATGGGTTAATTATCCAAAGCCAAAACTGCTAAAACATCACCGCTACAGGTCCCACTGAACATGACTGTAAGACTGATCATAGCAGTTACTGCAATTTGCATCGTTTAGACCAAACACTGTCCCTCAGAGGACTGTCAAGCCCTGTTCACTGCTGGCATATTCTATTATGTCACTGCAAAATGCTACTTAGGTAAAGGGCAACATTTTTTGTAATTCTCCTCATATGTTTTCCTGTGGACTGTCACTAGAACTCAAAGTGTGATGAAGCAAACACAGCTGTAGACTCCAAGCTCCAAGACAACACCAATTTCTTAAATAAAGCTCCTCAGGCTTTGGGAGCCAGAACATCTGTATGGAGCTATTCAGGGAGAGCAGTCACTCTGCTAAGCAACTTGACAAACAGAGCTTTGCTGTTGCCGTTTTGACTCTGTGTGCATGCAAGAACCCCAGCATTGCACAAGCACTCCACTGTGCCAAGCACCACTTGGACAAATAAAAAATTCCCATCCAGAGAGTTTGCAATCTAGGTATTAGACCAAAAAAACTAGTAGACAAAACAGTCGAGATATATAGAGAGCAGGGAGGATGAGGAACAAAACCCAAGAAGCTCAAAATAGAAAAGAAGAAACTACAGCTCACCACTTTTTAAGCTCATGTCAGTTACAATCTGGTGGTTAAAACTCACCTTTGCCACCATTAAGATGGATTTAAGATAGAAGGTAAGGTGGCAGCTTTACAAATATAGCAGCTATAAACTGACATGGGGAACACATGATGTACTTCAGTAGCAGGATCAAAGTGGAATTTCTGAGGAAAAGGTATAGCTTTCAGTTCTGTGAACCTATCTGCACCTATCTTGTCTCTGGGGCCAGTTACAGCAGCTTGAATAATGCCAACCAGGAACTCATTAAGCACAGCAGTAGTCTGGCACAGCCTTTCTGACATGACACCTATGCCAGCCCAGAGTCTGAGCTGCATATAAAAGTCTTACAATTACAAAGCTTTGCTGAGTCACCAGGATCTGGTTTGAGGACAGAGATTGGTGCGGCATCAGTACATGCAAAGGAGTCCATCTCAGACAGAAGTTAGCATGCACAAGTACTCTCTTCTCAGTTTTGCTGCTTGTTTACTTAGCTCTGTTGTCTCACGATATACAGCCATTCTTCCATATATAGTAAAAGCAAGTGTCTCACTGCAGAAGCAGACTGCAAGGAAGTCTGTGGCAGCCTTGAAGTTAGCAACACTGCTCCTCACAAATAAAAATATATTCACAGATGTATTATGGCTAGGGATCTTCAGCAATGATTTTCACTACCTTCAGCAGAACAGCCCTGAAGGCTGCTGGAGAAGGTAGAAAATAATCTGCAAGTGCTAAAAAAAAAAAAATATGGTTGAGAGATGCTCAGGCCTACAGTCTAGCTTATATTTCTAAGGTTATGCTCATAAAGAAAAAAGAAGCATCTGAATTTTCTGAAGCGGGAGGAATCCACAGGTCAGTTAAAACCTGCTGAACTCCAGAGCTGTTCCTTAACGCTATTTAGCATGTTTTAAGAATGAAAAGTGAGATTTAGTACAGCCAGAAAAAGTTGTGCAAGGGCTTAATTGATAAAGTAACATATGACTAATACCATGTGAAGGAGCACCTCAATTGGTCTTAACCACAGAAGTATTTGCCATGACAACTAAAGATACTAGATGCCTATCACTACATTCGACTCACACCCTGACTCCTTAAACTTTGAACACAACCAATTTTGTTCAAGCAGAAATTCTCCCTGTGCCACAGAACACGTGTTCATTGAAAGTCTCATGGGAGAGAGGAATTGTTTGATTGCTGCTAGCATTTCAACAATAATGAAAAACAATAGAATTCATTTTTTGCAGACTACAGATTATAAAGAAGTTACTTTCTTGCAAAGCTTCAGTGTATTTCATGTATTAAGTATCCATTAAAGCTACCTCTAAGGCACCTAGCACAATGATACCTCAACGTTTCACAAATGTGGCAATTCGCTTATTCTCAGCTCATTTCTGTCTTAACTTGAGTGTAACAGCTGAGGTTTCTTCCTCCTCCTCCTATTTTCTTATACTCTTTACATCCTATTCCATGGAAAGACATTGCAGAAGAGAGATTTCAGTTAAATGGTAAATGTCAAAATAACTATAAAATCACACTGTTTGTCTCCTGTCCTGGTTTTGGCTGGGATAGAGTTAATTTTCTTTCTAGTAGCTGGTACAGTGTTATGGTTTGGATTTACTATGAGAAGAATGTTGATAACACACTGATGTTTTCAGTTGTTGCTAAGCAGTGTTTATACTACGTCAAGGATTTTTCAGCTTCTCGTGCCCAGCCAGCAAGAAGGTTGGAGGGGCACAAGAAGTTGGGAGGGGACACAGCCAGGGCAGCTGACCCAAACTGGCCAAAGAAATATTCCATACCATGTGACATTATGCCTAGTATATAAACTAGGGAGAGTTGGCTGGGGAGGGAGGTGGATTGCTGCTTGGGAACTAACATGGCATCAGTCAGTGAGTAATTGCATTGTGCTATTGTTTTTTATATTCTACTTCCTTTATTGTTATTATTGTCATATTATTCTTATTCTTCTTATTATTATTATTTTCTTCCTTTCTGTCCTACTAAACTGTTCTTATCACAACCCATGAGTTTTACTTTTTTTCTGATTCTCTCCCCCATCCCACTGGGTGGTGGGGGGAGTAAGTGAGCAGCTGCATGGTGCTTAGTTGCTGGCTGGGGTTAAACCACAACACTCCCCACATGAAGAATGCATCCATCGAGCAAAATGCTTCTGCTTTTAACCTCCATACCTGTAGGATGGTCGTCTGGAAAGAATTTCTCTTCGTTTCTGTGAGTCTGTGACACTGTCTACTGATTCCTGTGAATCTTCACTTTCTGCTATAGTGGAGATCTGTAAATAAGAACAGCAATCAAACTTAACAAGACACTTCCAATGTCTTTATTTTAAGGAAATGTGAAAAACACTACAATGCAAGTATTCTACAATGCTTCTACCTAGGCAATGAACAGAAAAGGCAGGCTGTTTAGTAACAGATCCAGTGAATAATGACCACAGTCAGTTATCTACCCGTGAGAATGTCCTTTACAATTTAAATATTCCAATAAGAAAATATAAACAGTAATTCCATACACTTTTTGCTTTCCAGGATTCCTTGTTTCCATCCATTTTAAGGAAACAAAAAAAGATTTTTTTAGCAAAATTTAGGTAGAGAATAACTAAAACCAAATTAAGATAGCAGAAGTGTTTGGAAACAAAGAGCAAAATACTGAAGTTGAGAAACATTAATTTATAAATAATTGTGTAGACATGTTATAGAGAGACTGCCTTTTGGGGGGAAATTGTCAGGAAAGTGTCATACATGAAGATGCTAAAAAATAATGCAGTGCTGCAATTCTGAATGTCTGTGCTAAAAAAAGACAAAGGTTTATGAAGGAAAGCTAAAATGTTTGTATGTGGTGTATAATTTTAAATTCGAAGTGTGCCAAAAATGTAAAAACAGCTCCAATACATAAAACCAGAGACTGTTTTCCAAAAGACTACAGTCACCTGACAAATACACAAACACTAGCCACAGGGAATAGAGAAATGCCCATGTGAGAAACATAGCTCATAGCCTGACATTTTATGCACTGTAGGGAAGATTCCTAAAGGCTCAAAAAGCTTGCTGGCACCCAAATCTCAGAGTTATCAGATAAAGGGCCTGAACAGGTCCAAGGCTGACTGTGAACTACAGGGCTTTGAATATCCAAACACCCTGGCTTTGCACTAAGCCAGGTGAATTCCAAGCATGGTTTCATTGTCTCTTATCTTCCACCTCTGGGCTAGTAACTTGTGCACTTCTCTGAAAACTGCTCACCTCCGAAAGATTAAAACTCTAAACTTTTGACTCCAGTGGCTGAGAAGGGTAGAGCCTGCCAGAAACTCAGCACTAAAGCTGACAAGGAGTAAACAAAGATTATTATCAGAATGGCCTAGTTTTGAATTAGGCATGCCTTATTATTTTTTAAAATAACACCAGCTAAATACCTGTATCAAATAGTCACGATATCTACTTTTAAAAATTAAACACTTTTTGAGCTCAATAGCAAAGGAACGATGTTCAGTCCTTGCCCTGTGTAGCTGCTGTACACCAAGCAATTTCTGTTTCTGCATTCAGTAACACTGAGCTTAAAGTGGTTCAAAAAAAAAAAAAAAAGTTACAGGTTTTAAAGATTTCAGACTACTTGTCTCCTATGTCTTCAAGCTACCTCATCATATTGCATTATCTATCTTGCTTTACAGAAGAGAATATGCTAAGGCTTTACAAAGCAAACACCATTCAACAGGCAAATTTTAAAACCATTTTTATGAGAGAACTGATAGGTTTATTTTAAGAACCATTAACATACAGATATCTTTGTAAACCAATGCAAGTATTTTCTAACTAGCAAAGACTCTCATCCCAGAATATCAGCCTCATTAATGATTAAAGATTACATTATAAAAAAAATCCCTTTTGTTCACTTCAGAATAGTATGAACTCTTACTCAATAAAGATGTATGAAAATACAGTAGAGATGAAAAGTAGAGTAATACTGTAAGAAAAACCATGAAGCTGTTAAACTCACCAAACAAATTCTAAAGGGAAATGAAACTCAGCAATGTTTGAAAGTGAAAAGTTGTTAAACCAGAACAGAAAAAAAGTCACAGAGTAGCAAATACCGTACAGATTTTGCCTTCAACATGCTCTTAAAGTTTATATACACAAAAACACAATCCAGGACACAAACACATTAGAAACCAGTGAACTGGCAGGACTATACAAAAGGCCCAATTCACATATTAGGAATTTCTTCAGTCAGTACCTGAACTGTCTGGACCTGTGGAGACTGAATAACTGATGGCTGGGCAGCCTGAATTACTCCATGCACTTGAACTGTCTGCCCATTGGGCAGCTGAACTAAGGTCACCGTGGGCGCAGAAGACGTTGCGTGAGCTGCTGGCATAGATACCTGCAAAGAAGAGACAGTGAGCATAAATCAGGTTATTACAAAATCTTCTTATTTCACTACCAAGAACATTTTTTGGTGAAAGAATTATGTCTCTTCTAGACCCCAGTTAGATGACCCAAATGTTTCAGCATAATGTAAAACCCCCTTAACTGCCTAAGCCCAACATCTGACCTACTTTACAAATTAATCTAATGCAGAATTTCTGCAGGCTCAAAACATCGCTTGTAAAACCACTGACAAGAATGTGAAAAACACAACTGCCTCTATTTTGAGGTAACCTAATAAAAACACATTATTACCTTTCACTTACTTCAGTTAGATATTGCTAGGACATGGGTGTACTCCTACAGACACTGCTGAGTCAAAGGCAGAAACATATGGGAGTGGAGCTATTTTTGTTCTCACTCAAGAAAATGCAAAGTGTTTGCCAGATGTAAGCAGTCAAAAATTTTTAGGGAGTCACACCTTTCAGACTTTCCAGAGACTAAACCATATTGAGCAGCTGGCAAAGTCCAGTGAAATGAAGAAAACTGACCATGTGTTCAGACGGAAAACCCATGGGTTTGCAGTGGAAACAAATGGCTTGTATGCAGTTATTGTGATTCAGTGTAACGGGTCAACACAAACTCTAGTCTTAAGAGTTATTTCTACGAGGAAAAATCGCCCACAGTTTAAACCCTCAGTTCCTAAACCCAATTTTGTTTCGCCAGCGCAGACCTGTAGGCATAGTGGCCGTGCCAACAGGGATAGGCTAACGACTTCAGCACGGCACGTTAGCACTGCGTGCACAGCCACGCGCGTCCTGCGCAGGGGCTCAGGCTCTGAGGACAGCCACATCCACACCAAGCTGTTCACGTCACGCGGGGAAGTCTCACTCTGGCAGGTCACAAGAACCATGATGGGCGGCTGAAGGACCACGCACCAAGGCTGCTATGTGGCTGGGCAGTTGCCCCGGTGCACATCCAGTACTCAACACTACTTTCTGGTGACGCGATGCACGTGTTCGTGGCTGGGGGGCTCCCGAAAGGCAGGAGGGTGCCAGGGCTGCCGCACCAGCACACGTGGCCCTCGGTTTGCGCCCGATGTGCCGTCACAACCCTCAGGGAAGGGCTGCAGGCAAGCACGAGCTGCTCTAGCAGACCTCAGCCAGGTCATGGGTCACTGACTAGCCAGCCTTCTTCTAGACACCCAGGTTTGGAAAATTTAACAATCCTCCAGTGTTCAACGGCATTTTCAAGAAATTCCACCCGTGTAGCTACCACGCGAGAAGGGGCTGCACTGCTGCCCCACCTCATCTCAAAGAGCTGCTATGTACCGGATGCAGAAGTAAATCCTTTGCTGTTCCCATGAACATGTGGTTCTCAAAAAGCTGCAGTAGCTGATCTCTGAATTTCCATAAACATCCACCACTTACAAGGAAATCGTGCTTAACAACAAAATTAAAGGGAATTACATGTAGACCTCTCTCCTCCACAGCTGTCCCTCCCTAATCCACAAATTTGTGTTTGCCTTTACCTTCCTTTTTCAGGAAAACAGCTGCAGCGTTACGTGGTGGTACTTCACTCACATCTGAGAGAAACCGGAGCTGAGATTAACATGAGTACACTTTCCTCTGGCAAATTATATTCCTCTACCAAGCAACCTTTTTTAATAATGCATGTCTGACTAAACAGTCCTTGGCAATGACTGCAAAGCTGATCAACTGGAGGCCACTCTGCGGTTGGATTAAGCCCACAGCAGAGTGTAACTTCCGCACATGTCTCTGACTCATACCTCGTGGAACTGGAACAAGTTTCCTTTTGACTCTGAAAACTACCCTGAACTCACTAAAAATGCAGCAATTAAACTAAGCTTACAGGAGGGGTGACCTTACAAGAGATAATGAATGAATTAAATTGACATAATTAGTTATTTAGATTTGCCTAATCCTCTGAGGGCACTCCCTAATGCCAAACACTGCCACATCACATATTAAAAATATTGTAGTAACGTAACACTGATGTGACCAAGACAAGGAATTATGTTTAGAATGTTATATCACCTCCACAAGGAATATAAAGCCTGGGGAAAAGCTAAGGTGCAAATAATATGGTGAATGACAACAGAGGAAATTAGGAAAAATAGAACATATTTTTTTGTCGTTCACATGGATTTTAACCATAGCTGTATAGCTTTTTCTTACTTGGAAAAAATTCTCACTCAAGTACCAGGGTAATTTTGCCCAAGTAAAGTGCATTCAGCCCACTACATACTTGTAAGATCAGCTACCTGGAGGGTAGTATGTTAGCACACGAATTTAAAACATTCTTGCTTCTCTGGACTAAATCTTAATGCATATCAAGTGAGAAGCAGTTTACTGGTTTTGCAAGAGAAATAAAACTACTTCCACTCAGTTCACACTGAAGTGTTATTCGCACCACCTACATCCTGTGCCAAAGTTAGACAGTGAGAAAACTGCCCAAAGAGGCAAGCTGGTGTAGGGCAGCTGGTGGCCTGTAAATTCACACTGCAGCTTCACTCAACAAAATCACCCTGTGCATTTTAACAGCTCTAATCCCTATACTATCACTTGAATGGAAGTGTACTATCTCTGGTTTACCAAAAAGTGTAATGACTTTAAAAAGACATTAATCGTTTATAAAATGGTAAGTGATTTAACACTTGTGCCACTTAAAAAGACTATGAGATCTAAAAAACCTGTTTGTTCTTTGCAGACTGCAAATAGTTTTAAAATTAAATCATTACAGAAGAGAGTCGAAAAGATTCTGTACTCATTTACACAATGGAGTTGCTTCTGCCAACCATCAGTGTATCCAAGAATGAAAGCAGGTTCCAAAATCAGGGATGTAGCTGGGATCGCATTTCTTGTTTCTCCAAAATAATTTGGGGATAATAAATGATCTACTACCGTCTCTCTAAACAGCCAACAATTCTGTGAAATTCTGGAGACAACAGGGTGACAAAAGCTGTCAAATGCCAGGTCGTTCCACTTGATTATGATGTTTATAATATTAATCCCGTATGATAAGATGTTGTATTTGCTGCATTATTTATCTATATTTTCAGTTTGTTTTCTTCAGAATTAAACTGAGTGCTATAGACAAGTTTCCAACAGATAACATAACAGCAAAACAATCCAATCAATATAAAAAAAAGACAGTAAATTACATGTTTTGAAAAAAATACCTTCCAGTGGTATGGTTGTGGTAAAGAATGCTAGAAATATTTTCATTCATTATTCTATTAACATTACACAGTTTACACACATACAGTTCTTCAGAACTAACACAGCCTAGTGTGATGGGAAGTTAAAAATCTCTACTGCTTTAAAAATGTGAAGACAAATATCAAAGGAACTACACATTGCACCTGTTTCAGAATCTTATCAATGGAACCTTCTCTCAGGCCCATGAGCAGACATTATCCCTCTTAAAAAAATTATCCAATAGGTAAAACTATTACATTGTATGATTTTATACCTGGGCTAACGTTGCAATCTGTGGTTGTGCCTGTACTGTCATCTGTTGGGTTTCTGCCTCTGTAACGGCTGCATCTCCACTCTGCTGGTTCTCTGCTCCAGATTCCATGGTCATTTAGTTACCTACAATCACAACATTTGTCGTAAGTCTGGGTTGGTATGCAAGTCCATTATTCTTGGTGGATCTGGTAGCAATCACTGCAGCTGAATTCCCATTACTATATACTGTTTTCATTTGCTTATTAAAATGTTGCCAAACTATTAGCATTCAGGCAAATTTTTTTCATGCCAGGTGTCTGCCTCAGGCTGATTTTTCTGTGCGTAATGTTTCTGAAAAACAGGTCCAGTCTCCTCCAATAATGAGATCAGAAAAAATGCGTTTTGCTAATCTTAAAAAAATTGTTCGAGCAATGGCACTATGATGATCCAGTGCCTCCGCAATTCGGAATAATGACCGGCAGTTTGTCAGGAAGGGCACTCCCTCAGTGCCAAGGTGACAATGTGCCCTGCTACAGTCCTCCCTCTCCCCCGCAACTGCAGTTTGCAGATAACCAATAGCAATTGCTTCTGTGTTGGGCACTTGGTTTTCATTGTTCTTCCATCTGAACTAAATATGCAACACCTCCATGCAATTTCTTTCCACAACCAGTCTGTGTATGGCCCTATGTCACAGCAACTTAGCCTTTTCTACTCAGTAGTTTTAAAGTCAGTATACATAATGATGGAAGCCATTTCTACTTGACCCTTACTGCAAATTAATATTTTTATATTTAGAGGTACCTAGTAGTTTGTCATGACCTAAGTTTTGCACCGTATTTAGTTCCTAATACACTTACATGTCTAAGCAATAATGGAGCAAGCTTAGATCACCAGAACATACAACTCTATAAAAAGAGGTTGCATAACTTCCAAAACCATGCATGTAAGTAGAGTGCAATGAAATGTTAAATTCTGCACTGATTTTTGAAAATTACTTTTCAGTTCTTCTTTAAATACTGATAAGAAAATATTTAATATATAAAATATAACTTCAACATACAAGGAAATGCTCCCAATGGTGATCTATCAATACCACTGTATTATACAGAACTCCAAATAGCAAATATTAAAAATCAATATTACCTCCATAGCCACAGTACCAATACTGTGTACCACCCTGTGCTGCCCAATCTACTCAGGCCTCTAGCCACCCTAAGGCAGCACACTTCTCTTCAGAGCTGGAGCAAAACAACCAGTAGAGAGAGCATTTCTGCTTTAGGAAAAGGCCTGGAGGCAGAGGATGCTCAGATCAGAAGAAAGGTGGAAAGAAGGAGAAATGCCCCTCTCCTTGCTCAACTTTACTGGCCACCCCAACCCCCCCATCCCCGAGGAAAAGACTTAGAAGTGTGAATGCAGTGTATTGTGTGACCACATTTTAAACACAAAGTCAGGGAAACTTTCAATGCAAACTATACTTCAGTGTTACAGGAAAGAGAATACTCTTTGGAGATGTATTGCCTAAAGCAGTAGAGTCACACTTCAACCCTGAGTATAATAGGAAATGTCTGTCTTACAGTAAATGATTGCTAATCAACAAAGATAAAACAGCATTTCAAAGTAGTAGCTGCATCTCATATCAAAAGGAAGCAAGCCAATGTATATAAATCAAAATCTGTATATTCAGTATTGAAAATGACTGTTCAAATGAGCTTTTGTGTTTGTGTGTGTGTGTGCGTGAATACTGAAATATTTAAGTACCAATTATTTAGTTTCAACATCAGTTTAGAAACGCTTTGGAAATGAAAAGAATTAAATCTGATTTTCCTTAAAAACAAACAATGAAAGAAAACTTACAAGTTTTTGGAAAAAACAAATTAAATTCTTCTAAGCACCTGGAATTTTGTTATGCCTCTCCCTGTTGCCATGATTTCTGTCCCACATATACCAGGTATTACTCCAACAAATGCTCACAGATAAACAATACTCTACCTGTATGTATATACTTGTAAACTGGTCATGAAAGAAATTAATTGTAAATCCAGCATTTTAAGTAGTCTAGACATTACAATTTTTGTAAGTATTTCAAGAATAGCCTATGTCCATGCAAATACAATAACCCCATTCTTTCCTACAGTACCAAGTCTTCTCCATGCTGCATTTCATCTTCCACAAAGCACGAAAGAAAATCCACGCACTGTTGCTATTTGTAATATACATTAGCAAACAGTTCTTAAAGACTTCATTCATGACAACAGTTTAAGTGGTTCTCTATCCCAGCTTTAACATATGCCTTATATTTTAACAGTCTTAGTCCTCCATGTTATATGTCCAATTTTTGGGGGTATTCTGCATTTTCAAAAGTGCAAACTACAAACCAGACTACCATAGGTTTTCCTTTGATTTTTATCATTTTTAAGGAGGTATCTAGTTTTATCACTTTTTTGTGAGTATCAGCCAGTTTGTCCAAGGTAAGCAAATCAACAACTTTTTCCCAATTCCTACGCATGTATCATGGTGACTCCAGCCAAAAGACTACCTCATCGGAACCGTTTCAGGAGCAGATCTTTTGCATCAGCAACATGTCCCAGCCAAGTATCTGAAAAGAACTTTAAAAAACAATTTCCCAGCTACAAATTCAAGTATGTTGCAAAACTAATAAATGCTTTTGTTTGCTGATAGAAATCATGACTCCAGTATGGAGTCAACTGCTATACAAATGGGATTAGAAACAGATGAAATGTACAAGTGAGGAGTCTCTTGAATCAGGTATTTAGCAATGTTTGCAATGGTAGATGTTGCCAAATTCCTGCTGAGAAATGCAATGTTTTCCTAGGAAGAATTCTCAATCCTCTCACACGCTATTCAGCAAAGGACTTCTGGTTTTACAAGCTTAGTTTCCACACTTGCATCACCTTTTGCATATGTAATCGGCAAAAGTGTAAACTGTTTGAGGTGCTCCCTCTTCTACAACACCAACATTTTGGAAATCAAATTCTTAACATGAACACCTAAAAGGAACATCCTCATTACAGTAAGCACCAAGCAATGCAGCAAGCTGCCTGCAAGATTTACATCTTGACACATGCAGTTCAAACGAGTTTCCAACATGACTTGTAGTTTTTGGACAAGCTCTTAGTCTCGTGTTATTTGCACGTTCTAAGTACTCTTGAATTTTGTTCAATTTATACATCACAGTATTTGTATTCTAACATCTTCACTACTACTTTTTACAGTTAACTTGTGAGGAAAAGAAGGAATCAGATTATTGAGCATCACAACATTATATTCCAGATACAGATTACTACATTGTTTCGTGTTTGCTTTAACAGTATGGTATGATTAAGATTGCCAAGATATACAAGACAAGGCACCTAGAACATACTTATTGTGTGTATGGATAAGACCATGATGGCTGAAATTAAGGTTGTCAGTTCCTATTAGTTCTTTCAATTTACAGTGTAACAGATGAAATTATGTTTGGTTTGAAACCTTAACCTCCCCAGACATACAAATGAATGCTAATCCTTACACTCCCTTTCTAAGCTGTCACATACCCCTAGTCTAGACAAGCTTTGCTGACCAGTACCCCCGTGTCTTTCTTTTCTTTTGGGTGCTCAGGCCCACCCCACCACCCCATCCTTTTGCTCCTCCTGCTCCCTGGCACCGATTTCCCTGGCAGCCATCACACCAGGACTTCTCGAATGGAGGCAGGGATCTCGAAGCATCCTGGTGGGGAACAAGTGTCCGGAGCAGGGGAGGCATACGGGAGCAGAGGGAGCACACCTTCTTCTCATTCCTTCCTGCTTCCAGGCTACCTTCCATCTTGTCAGGAGAGGACACACCTCCCCACTTCGAGAAAAAATTAGTAGTTGCTGTAGGTCATCTTGAACCAAGTATTCTAAATGAAACTAACTGAAAAAAACAGTTAGCTATTAACAAGCAGAGTTGGAAAACCAGAGTCTGCCTTCCTGAAACACCCTGGCTATGAACTCTGAACACGTTAAGAAAGCTGATCAGATTACCTGGTTGGAGACGGTTTAACTCTTGACTTTTATGTAATACACAATTTTCTTTATTAGTTCAAAAGAGCTAGTATTATACTTACTAATACTCTCTTAATAACATACTTACTAATGATCTGAAACTCTGGAGGTAAAGAGCCAAAGAGCGAAACAGCCAATAATTTGTTTTGGCCAAATCAGAACTGGGAAAACAAAGTTCAGCAGCAGATAACTAACTGTAATAGCTGAATATACACCAGGACAGCAGAAGATGGATGCTAATAAACACAAACAGTTGCAGAATGCAGGGCAAACTGAAGTATGCACACTGTAGAAAAATCCAAATAAACATGTCTTGTTAGTTGCACAAACCTGTGAAGGGGGCCCGGCACTACTGCAGATAGTTCACTTCAGATTTCTGCTTAACATGCATCTACGACACGAAAAACTAAAGTGTTAGACTGCAACAGCAGTAAGATACAGGGTAATCTTTAAAAATTTTATTTGTAGAGATGGACCCTGTACATCAGCTGGATTACAGTGCAGAGGTTGGGAGTCCATCTTAAAAACGGGTTCTGTGGAATCTGCATGTTCAGAGAAAGCAAGCATTTGGGGCAATGAAAACGTGTTGTATGAACAGATTGGACAGAATTGTATTATTTACCCCAGAAAGGACAGAAATGCTTCAAACGCTAAAAAAATACTTAAATTAGTAACAGGGTAAGTAAGCAAGAAACATTCACTGTCTAATTATAAGAACAGCTAAGTGGAAAGGTGGAAAATTTAAAAGTATAAAAATGAAGATTTAAAAATATCTATTAAAAAATATGAACATTGATACTTTGTATACTGAACAAATAAAGCACTGATGCTGCTGACGATAAGCAATTTCTAAGGATTCAAACAGGGGTTAGGCATGCACATGGGTAACAAGAATATCCAAGAATATCCAGAATTGGTGTGGTTATTTCACACCAAAAGTAGTGCAGAACTGAAAGGAAGATAAAACCTCATGAGTCTGGATTTAAACCAATCTCTAATCCTTAAAAATTCAAATAAAGATTTTCATGGGGGAGGGAGATTATGTCACATGTACTTCTTGCAGGTTCCAGTAGTCTTTTGAGGTACCTAATGATCT